CTATAAAAATGACGAGGTGGCACTCATGTCAAACACACTGCTTTAGAAATGCAAATAAGATGCCATGTCAGCATATTTCTGACAACTATATAAAAATTTGATAATGTAAAAGAGATATGATAATGTAAAATTTTGCAGGTTTCTAATAACGGTTGGGCAGAAGGTGAATGCAAAGAGAAAGCAGGTTGGTTTCCAATGGGATACATTGAAAGACGAGAACGTGTTCTTGCAAGTAAGCTGACAGATATTTTTTTAGCTCTCATCTAAAATTCATAATCTTTTGTAAATTCTCTTTTGGAATTTTGTTGTCGGTTTTTTTGAGATACGATTTATATAATCGCTTTTGTGCTTTAGTCATATTTTTGTGTTAAGTCGAGAAAGTTAATGTGCTTTTTCTGGGAAACTATTCTTTGTCATGAAATTCAAGGAACAATTACGAGAAATACAAAACATTATAGCAATGTACTTTTTTTGAACTACAGTTTTGCATTTCGATCTTTATGTGTTACATATAGAGACCAGGGGCGGTTTTAGGGTGTTCCCGGTGTGACACTGCTTTTCCTGTCCACAGTGGAAAAATTTTCGATTTTTTTTTTACCTATTTTTTATGTATCGGCAACATCTATTTCATCTCGGCAACACCTACTATGTATTTCTGCATCCTCCCCTGATAGAAACATGTAATTATGTAAGTGCTTTACTATGATGAGTAAGGAATTGCAATTATGTTGTTTTGTGTCAAGAAAATGGAAATATGATATTGTCATGGTTCACATAAATAAAAATGATTTCATCAATGATTTCTACCCTAACTACTTCTTCTGGACTGCCCTAACCTCTCTCTCTCTCTCTCTCTCTCTCTCTCCAACAAGGTAGGAAAAATAAGAATTTGATCACGTTGAAAGTCTAGCAACCGTTGAGATTATATGTCTTGATAATCGGTTTCATTATAATTTCTATGATTTGATTTAATATGTTTAATTGGATCCGTGACTTTTGAGATTAAATTTTGTAAATCATTATTACTTCGGATATTTGTTTTGAACATCAATCAAATGTTATATCATATCATCTTCTAGATTATGGATATTTGTTTTGAACATCAATCAAATGTTATATCATATCATCTTCTAGATTATAAAGTATAAAATCATCTTTGTTTTCCTTTTATAATTTTTGAGCATGTTTTCATATTCTTAAAAATTATCAAAAAGTAATTTAATAGTTTAAAACTTTTAATTAAATAAAATGTTCATGACAAAGAAGTGTGTATTAATCGACAGATTGGGCATATTTGGGGGTTTATCCTCATATCTAACATTCTAACAATAAACATCAAAAACCAACTATGCCTATACACTAGTCGTTTTCAAAAAAAATAAAAAAATCTTGGAAGCCATATTTGAGTTGATAATTTAATATCTATTCTTTTGGTTTGAGCTTACTTCGTTAGGTAATACTTATACACAACCTACTTAGTGAATGAATTTTTTTTTAAAAAAAATGTATTAAATAATACATTGACATCTTATCTTCAAGATGTTGGTGGTAGTGGTGAAGTGTTAGATAATCGCACATGACTTGAACTCCCTTAGTCCCTAAGCTATCAAAAAGGAGCATGTCTTCGCAACTTTGTGACATCGATTATTCTTTCATTTCCTTTCCTATCATAATGATCACAATTAGTTTACTAATGATCAAACTTAGTTTATTATATGAGATAAAATTAGATTCGATTGAACTACTTTTTAGAAACTTTTGGAAATAATTTTCGATGTTTAAAATTAAAAAAGATATTCTAGTTTATTTTGTACAAATAAGATATAACAACTAGTCTATTTTCAATATCTTTAGATAGGCCTTTGTTTGTTTTTTTGTTTTTTTTTTCATCCATCTTCATTCAATAATCTCAGTATATGGGTATGTTCATAATGGGATTTTTAAGATATTTTAGTTTTTAGTTTTTAATAAAATATTTAAATTAAAGAAAAAACTTCATTTCATAGCATAATCTTAAACCTTCTAATTAAATAAGAAAACACTTGTAATCCAAAAATAATTTCAAGTAGTTTTTAAAAACTTTTATATTAGTTTACATCTTTTAAAATTTTACTGTGTACCTTCTAACTATGAGTTTCTAGCTAAACTATATTTTTTACAAACTTTACCATAAACACAAAAACTTGTTTTAATTAGTCTTGTATTGCCTAACAACAAACAAATAATGGAGTAACTTGTTTTTAAACCAAAAGGAAATGAAATATCTCACTATCACTCACTCAAAAAGAGAAAGGGGAAAACAGTATAGAGAAGTGGTGGCCCTTCATACCTTTACTTACCACACACCACCCCACATTCCCTCACCGGAGTTGCAGCAATGACCTCCGACACTAACCCAAACGGCGGCCATAATTACCACAACCACAGCCACAGCCACCTACCACCTCCTCCGTCACACAACCACCACCACCGCTACAACCAACGACACTACTACCCTCACTCCTCCTCCTCCTCCGCCTCAATCAGAGGCTGTTGCTGCTGCCTTATCCTCCTCTTCTCCTTCCTCGCCCTCGTCGTCCTCACCGTCGTCCTCGTCATTGTCCTCGCCGTAAAACCTAAAAAACCTCAGTTCGATCTCCAACAAGTCGGTGTTCAATACATCAACCTCGCCGCTTCCCCGGTGAATACTCCGAGCACCGCCTCCCTATCCCTCGCCATTCGGATGCTGTTCACCGCGAAAAACGACAACAAGGTAGGGATCAAGTACGGCGTGTCCACCTTCAATATCATGTACCGTGGGATTCCATTGGGTCGGGGCACCGTACCCGGGTTTTACCAACCGGCGCACAGTGTACGGCGGGTTCAGACGACGGTGACGGTGGATCGGGTGAATCTGTTGCAGGCGGATGCTGCTAGTTTGGTGAGAGATGCTTCGCTTAATGACCGGGTCGAGTTACGGATCATGGGTGATGTTAATGCTAAGATCCGAATCCTTGGGTTAACTTCACCCTCCGTGCAGGTTAGCACTTAGCATTGTCTATTTTATATTCAAAATAACATTCTCTTAGACAAAAAAAACATACATTCATGTGAACATTGATATTCTTAAGTCTATCCTCAAGAATCTCGATAATCTTAATTAAAACTAGGGTTTTTGAAATATTAATCTCAGAGGCTTCATTTGTTACTTGTATTCGAATATTTATTTTCTACATATCTGTCATTAAGTGGTTTTAATTGTATTTATGCTAGGTTTAGATTATAAGAAATTGCATGGATAATCTCAATTAACATTAACGTTTGTATATTTTAGGGAAAAACTCAAGGTAAACCATTATGTTATCGTTCTAATATTGCCTAAATTAATGTTTAGTGACCATTTTGTCCATTAAAACCGGCATAACACAAAATTTCTTTAAAAAGAAATTAGATCATAAAATGGTCAAGAAACATTAATTTAGGCAAAGATGATAATATAAAATGGTTTTAGTGGACAAAATAAAATATAAATAATGTTTTTTAAGCATCGGGAGATAATACATTGGTTTTTTCTTGGTTTATGCAAAATTTATAAAACGGGAATTCTTACATTGTTTATAATCACATTTCGATATATGTATTTTATGAGTTATAATTTGTTATAAAAAGTTTATATAATACGAATAATTGGAATTGACATGATATATTGTAGGCATCGATTGATTGTGCCATAGCCATAAGCCCAAGGAAGCAAGCTCTCACTTACAAGCAATGTGGATTCGATGGTTTGCAAGTATAAACTAACTCCCACAACCACAACATATTTAATTAAAATGCACCGATTTTAATTTGACAAAAGTTGTGCACAGTTTGGTTTTGTTTTGTGTAATTTTAAAGTGCGCCCATTATCAAATCGTTGAAAATGGTTTGAATAATGGTTTGTGCTTATGGTTTTTTTTCTCATCACTTTCCCTAATTTTTATATTATTCAACGTAACATAGAGAATGTCATGTTATTTTTCATCCTTGAAATATGTCCTATCAAATTTAATTTGTTAACCTTTCTCAATCTTACATTGATTGTAACAACCAACAAGAATGACTTGACTTTGATTCAAAGTAACATCATAGAAAACATCACGCCAATTTTGTTGTGCGACATTAACACCATGTGCAACAAAGGTAACACGTGAGGAGTTGAGACAAAGTTGTGTTTTCATTCCAATCATATACTAAAAACAATTCCTCAATAAATACATTCAAATAACATATTCTTGTTACTATGTTATCTAATAAGCACATAACATTTATAATATGTAACTAGAAAGGTTACCCCCGCTACGCGGGGACCAGAAGCTTTCAATGTTGTTTCCGAATTGATAAATATGACAGACATAGAAAGTGCAAGGATGAAAAGTCCGGGCTTTGCCCCGGACAAAAAATGTAAAAGTTTTGACTGCAAGGACCAGAAGTGTAAAAATGGCTAAAGAATTAAAGGGGTAGAAATTAGCAATTTTTTAGAAAATGGATCAAAGTTGTCAAACTGTTAAAGTTTTGTGGCCAAACTTTAAATATTAAAAAGTTCCAAAAAAATGTAAAAATATTGATTGCAAGGACCAAAAGTGTCAAAATGCGTAAAGAATAATGAACAAAGTTGCCAAAAAACATCCAAATTTAGTATTCCTAACTTCCAACAATAATGCAGGGACCAATTCTGCCAAAAAAATGAGAAGTTGAATCAAACACAAACAAAAGGACATGAATAAATTAGTTAAAGAAGTACAGAGACCGGATATGTAAATCAAGGGACCAAATCTGGACAAAGTATCCTAAGTTTACTATTCTTTTCTTCCAGAACTTTAATATATATATAATAATAAGTTATATCTTTTAACTTCTAAGATATTTTTTAAAATAAAAATGACAAATTTATAAAATGATTTATAATTATATATAATATATATATATACAAACAACACTCCAAATGATTCGTGTAATGTAAATCTACCCGATTAATTACATTACTTCTTTTTCTTGTCTTCCTCTCTTTCAAGTAAAACAGGAGCTGCTGGTATACTAAACCACCACTCTCTCATTCTCCTCATGAATCTTTCGGTTTGTGCCTTTCTCATTGGCGAGTACTTTGTAAATTCTTCCAAGAACATTACTAGAAGCACGTATCGAAAGGGTACAAATGTTAAAAATAAAGCAAAACCCGCAAGTGCAGCCGCAAATCTATTAGTTGCCTGAAAATATACGTAAAAACACAACTTAGTGTTTGCTTCTTTCTGATTTCTTTTTTACGGTAAAATGATCATTTACATACATCCAAACAATATATTCGGTTCAAAAATTTTTATCTGTGTGTTAACACACTTGGTATATACACATATTATTTAGCCCTGTAATGGGAGCCTGATAGTGACACAGTAGGTCCTGGTTTAAACCTTAACATACTCAAAATATTGTTAGTGTTGCAATTGATCTGGAATGTGAGCTTTGAGGCGGAGTAATGTGGGATGCAGCTCAAATGGTACGGTTTATTGTTTTTTTTACATATATTATTTGGAGTTATCACAAAAGGTTGACAAAAAATGAGATCATAATTATATCACCAAGTGACCACATTTAAGAAAAAATTATCACCAAATAACCTACTTACTTCTTGAAAATATCACCAAATATCTTCATTTCAAGAAATTAATTTTTCAGTGGTCCCCACCACCATAATTACTGAATTTCTATGCTTTTTCAATATTGTTTTGCGAGATAAAAATAACTTGCAATAGTGACTAACTTAATTATTTATGTTTAAAATGTATTAAAAAAAAAAATTTCGGTTAAGCAAAATTGGTCAAAAAATTTAGCTCTCATAAGGTTCCATGTTTGACGCCTTTGAAAGACTATTTTTTTTTCTTCCAAATTTAGCTAAAATTTTCTGCTCTTCAATTATATGTAAAAAATGGTCTTTTAAAGGGACTCGAACTCACATGCTTCACCTAAAAAACCAAACACCTTAACCAATTTTACTGCAACGTGTCAAAGATGTATTTATGTATCATTTTGTGATAAATATTAAAAACAATGGTCATTTCGTGTCATACATTTTCCTCGTTTTCACATTTTTATGATTAGTCTCAATGTTTTATCCATTTCATAAAACCGGAAGCACGTTTAGGATTATACTGACATAGACAGAAAATATAAAGATTGTATGTAAGTATGTATATATACCTGTGGAAATATGGATAAAAAGAGGCCACGTATTTTAAGAAGAACGACATTTCCCTCTTGAATTAACTCTTCAGCTTGAGAAATTGCATTTTGGACAGCTAAAAGCTGCTCCATTTTGCTCATTGATGGAGGCACTACAACTCTTAGTTCATCAACTGGTCGTCCACTAAAATATCGTGTCATCACCATATTGATCGCAAAAAAATTGATCAATAACGCAAACACATAAGCCAGCCATCCCCTACACCCACAAAAAAAAAAAAAAAAAAAAAAATTAAAAATATCAATTATAATTTTATAATAAAATTAAAGTAGGAAGTAGATATTAAAGTTATAAGCTCACCAGTAGATAATAAATGTAAATACAAAACAGAATGTAAAAGACTTTGTCGGCTCATCCCAATACAATAGTCTCAAAAGATGAAACCCGAGTTCGCTTAAAGGAAATAGCAACTCCTACAAATAGCAAAGAGGAATAATAAATAATTAAATGGAATTCGCTTCTTGTATTATTGCATCCAAACAGTACCTTAAGAACAGCTAAATTCGTATCAAGGCCTTCAACTTTAGCTCCATCAACAGTCGCTTGTGCATCAGCCACCATCTTATAATTGCTTCTAGATTCACCAACGGCTTTCTCCAATGGAGTCATCTCCCCAACAGTTATCTCACCAACAGTAATCAACGACTGATTATTAGAATTTGCCCCAAACACAGACCCTAAGCTCGAAGCCATGGTGGTAGCCGACACCGAATACATTCCCTTTCCGTTACCGGATTTACCTCCGTTGTTGTTATTCCGTTCCGGCTCTTTCGAAGTCAACATCGATGCGATTGTTTCTAGTATTCGGTCGCCACCTGGCAGTTGATCACACGCATTGAACATAAGACCTTCTTCGTAGCATAAGGGGATTGTGGAGTTCATGTGAGTTAGGGCTTGCATTCGGATAATGCCGAATATTGCTTTTAGTAAGGCTTCATCGCGTTCGACTCCTTTAATCTTGAATTTTCGGATGAATTTGTGAGCGTATAAAACTTCACGCAAAATTGCTAGCCAATAGTCGCGTCTAGCGTGCCCTTTTAGCTCCGGAAGCTCCATTACAACTGGATCTGATCTACAATTTGGAACCCTAAATTAGTTCAAAGCCTCTACCCCTTTTGGTTATTTTTGTGATTATATTATATGTGTTAAGGCAGGCTTACAAGGAATTTGACTTGTAGAGAATAGCTTTGTCAAAAAGTCTTGTTCCCCATGGGCCGGTCAACTCAGCTTTGACTACTTGCTTCAAGTCATCTGCTAACTCATAAACTGTGGGCTTATCATATGACACAACACGAAGAGCTTCAAAGTATAATGCATGATCTGTCAGAGTTAATCGACCTGATGATAGATTTATATAAGAATTTCAACAATATCATGTCATATATATCATTTGAAGGAAAGAAAATCGAATATTTAAACCAACCAGGCCAAGTTGAGATCCCTAAATGTTGAAGAACAGGTTGTGTGGTGACTGTTCCATCTACTTCAAGAATCCTTTCCCCTCTTTTAGCTCGTTGAGATGAAAGCAAAGATGATTCTGAGTGTGATTTAAGTTTTTTAATAGACCTGTTGAAAAGTCAATCTTGTTACATTCGCAATCCAAGAACATGGAACACAAGATCTTTAATGCAAATATAAGAGCAGATTGCAGAAGTAATTTGAGTACTTTTCCAATGCAGAAAGATATTTCTCATATGTAGAATACTGAAGCCTGCCTCCAGTGGATGCAGTAAGAAACTCAAAAATATAATTACTGACTATCACATTTGCAATAATAGGCACAGCTGGAGCTATTCTTGAAAAGGCCTCAATTCCCACTGTTGGATCCTCATCTATCTGCACAGTGATCCAAACTGTTCAATCTAAGATCTACCTTAACTGTGAATGAATGAAAAACTGAAAATTACAAGTCCCAGAAGCTTCTGAAATCTATAATTACTATACAAATTTTGGGCATATCATCATTACATAATGAATGTACAGAAGAACATACATTTATGGTTTGCTGGCTAGCAGAATCTGGAATTTCCCAAGCAAGCATCATATCAAATGTTAATCTTCGAAACCTTTTGTCCTCCATATAACCATTAACTTGCGTAGATTGAGAAAGAGCCCTAAAACAGGCAAACTCCAGGAAATTTCGAGCATATCGAATTGGATGTTTTGTTACATCAGAAGCCTCTGCTTCAAAGTTTTCCCAAAGCTTATCCGTAGAAATATGGAGGATTCTGTAACATTCGGATACAGAGTGAGTGAAATTTCATTTGGAATGGAATCAACAGATCTAGTAAAGCACATGAAACATATTAATTTTGATTGAAGAAATGTAGAAATTGGGAGTATTTTGCAACAGAACTTACTTTGAACATCGACGGATAACTACATTTGCGACTGCAGATAGATCGTTGATCCATTTTTTATTACTAGATGAAGAAGACCTTTTAATCTCTTCAAACTCATCATGCAATGGGTTATGGCTTTTATTCAACCATTTCAATGATCCGTCTTTTACAAAACCCTCGATCATATGTTTGGTTTTGCTTACTGCAGCCATCTTCGGATTCTCTAGGATTGAATTAGGGTTTTGAGATCGTCAAATCCAAACAAATCGCGTTGTACATTATGCAAATTATTGTAAAAATAGAGGAATCGCAAGAAAGTTTCATCGAAATATTTCGCTCAATCCCAAAATCAATCAGAGCTACGTGGAGATTGATTTTTGTTTGAATGGAATATGCATGTAATTCGTTCGATGTTGATTTTACAGAATATTGTGATTTACAGAAATAGTCCTTGTGCTATTTATCAATCTGGGATAATCCATTTTAACCAATGTTTTTGCACAAATGGTCCCTACGACTTTAGGTTTTCCATTTGCTACCCATCTCCATTTCTATATATTAAAATATATATGTTAAGCTTCAAGCCTTCAACTTCTTTTACACTAGCTTTTTTAATAAGATTTTTGTTTTCATATGATCGTCAAATCAACATATCAAAAAACATAACAAAAATCTAAAATACAAGAGCCTCTTCACAAAGTTTATTCAATTTATATACAAAATAAATGAAATAGTATTAAAAATATGAAAAAGTCTTACTACTGAGCTTGTAAATTTACAAACAATGTGAAAAAAACTTCGGAATGAAAAAAATAAATAAATCATTCTTTAGCTTATTTGATTGAATAACCTTTTGAAAAAAGCTGGTACTATTGATATGCTAAGACATGCATCAACTTCAAGATGTCTTTGAACGTGTGTATTTATTTAAACATAAGTCATGCTATCTTATAGAAGCTTAGAAAATGAATAATCTCAAGAATTATCAAGAATGGATAGGATATTAACTATTTCACTAAGTGGGCTAAAGAATTGTCAAACTAGGCTTAAAATAAATACAAGAATTATCAAGAATTGATGATAGTTTCCTAATAGTTATTTGGACCAAATTACATTATTTTGAAATAAGGCCTAAAATGTGCTTAAATAGGGGATTGGAACATCCACGTACAAAGTAGATTTCTATTTCAGAATCCATTACTAATATGATACTTTTGTTGATGGGGAAGGGGCCATTCTTGAATATTTCAATAACCGTAAAGTGTGAAATCAGTGACTATTTTGTGGAAATTATATTTCAAAACCATTGCTAAAGTTTATATGTTAAGTTTTCCGTGGCCAAAATACAATATTTAAACTATAGCTTAACATAAATGAAAATAAATAATATTTAACGCCCCATAATCACTTCAGTATTACTTTGGATTCACCCATTTAGCCTCATTCGACCCGATTAATCACTTAATTATTCAGGTTGCAAACCGAACAAAACTGAATCAAACCAAATTACAATCGAATTCGAATTCAATTTATGTTTGTGGTTTGAATATAAAACTAATTAAAAATCAAATATATTAACTAATATAGCATTATTGATACATAGAAATTCATGCGAAGTTTACCTTATATTTTTTGCCCAACTCGAAACACACAGTCGCACAAGAAGTCGGTATTTTCACCTAAAGCTTTCTTCAAGTTTGTGTAGTATTTAGCAACACTCGGTGAGTTCATACAACAAAATTGGTCGATTCAAGCCACGTATCCATTGCACCCAATATGTTTTGGCCACCTCACAGCCCATTTTTACTGACTTTTGTTTTTTCGCAAAATAGTCACTTAACTTTTTATCATGTGCACTTTCGACCCTCCATAGCCATTTCCACATTTTGTCACTTTTAATGGCGTGTTCAACAAAATTAGCTCGTAGAGGGTAGTTTGTAGCGTTTTGTTAAACGCTACATGAATTAACATTTGGATTTGGAGTGCTTTGTTTAAACTAAACGCTAGAAGCTTGTAGTGCCAAACAATGTTTTTTGTTCAAAACGGAGCGTTTTGTCAAACGTTAGAAGCTAGAAGCTCTCAAACACTCCGTGCCGAACACGCCCTAAGCCCTGCTTTTAGAAGTTTTCATTCTCGAGGATAGATTTTGAAAAGGCTCCACTAATTCTTTTTATTCACTACAAAGATGCAACTCGTATACCGACGACATTTTCTATCCTTATGCCGACAACAAGTTGTCGGTAAAGCCTATGTCGACGACAAGTCTTCTGGTAAAAGTAGTCGGTATAGCTCCGTCGGTATAAATTGTAACGTCGTGATTTTTACCATAATTTTTTTCTTTTTAAAACATTTATTTAACAGAATACGTTAGCGAAAGACTTAGTTTTTTTAAATCAAAACATTTTCAAAACCACAACGTTACTTCGAAAACTCAAACATAATTCCAAACCATTAAACTGTAAACAAAAGTATTTTTAAAGTAAATAATCAAAAATGTGTCCAAGAGTGGTATCGTTAATACAAATCTACTACCTATAAGAACCCCCTCACCAAGGCTAATCTTCTAAACTGCCTATACCAATCATGAGACACAAAAGAGAAAAGATACAAGTGTCAGCCCCTGCTGAGTGAGTTCATAAAGTTGCATATAAAACATACAAACCCCAAATGGGTCAATCATTCATTTTATGATGAAGCATAAAAATGATAGACAAATACCACTTAGAGAATGACCGCATATTATAATTATTCAATCACATATTCAACCGCATACATGCATATATGTTTAACCACAATTCTACCACATAACATATATGATCAACCAAATACCATATAAGCAACCGCATAACATATAAATAATCACATTTCATATTTAAGCAACCTTTAATTGTTCAACCTTTTATTAATAACCAACCTTTGTTATACATTCAACCTTTTAATATGCAACCAACCTTTTGTTACATGTTCAACCTTTTATTAATAACCAACCTTTGTTATATATTCAACATTTTAATATGCAACCAACCGTTTGTTACATGTTCAACCTTTTATTATATCTATCCAACCGATTGATAGAAAAGTGTCTCTTAGTGCTACCTAACCCAAGAGAAACACCCCGTTCACTACTTGTGTGCACGGCCAACCGAATGCTCTAAGTGGCTCATGACTTCCACCCGAAACACCAACCCCGTGACTCCACTTTCGCTACTCCGACTTTGCAAAGTACAAGTAACCTGCGGTGTCGTTCAGGATCGGTACAAACAGTGCCAATTCCACCGATACACCTCCCGATTCCCACGTGATGTTTGCGCTGGCCGCGAACGAGGGACCAACATCACTCCAGCCCACGAACACCGAAGTGCCCGCAAACCATGTGTCACACGGTCATCTAGAAAGACCGGCAACTAATCACCGTTGTGGCTATAGCTCTTCCTATATGTACTCTTTCAACCTAGTAGGCATCCTCAATGATCCGGATAAGGTTTTAGGCAAAGATCATGAACTACCCAAACCCTCTACGCATAACCCCGCAATGTCATTTATACATTAAGCAAGTCATATAATGCATACCATATGAATGTGTATTAAACATGCAATGTATTCATAACCAGCACATCAAAACATAACCATACATCATATTTCAAGCAACTTAAGCTAGCATGTTATATACATCAAGTACATCAAAGTGTAAACAACATAGCAATTAGGTCATATCATGGCATTAGCCCAAAACATATATTAGCATCACAAATATCATATCATCATCAAGCACAAGTAATGATATGGTCATCCTAAAGTGAATCAAATCACCATCTACGGATTGCACGTTTCAATAATGCAACCTTAGTGATTTAAAACTATGAACTCACATTGTTCTGCGATAATAAAATATTACACTTATACGTCGTTTCGTAAGCTCCTTAATCCTCAAGATACCTAAACAATAAATATATATTTTTAATTTAGTTTAGGCTTTCAATATTTTAGATTGCAAGTTAATCGCCTATTTGGTAGTGAAATCAATATGGCATAAAATTAGAATACATAACTATGGTCATAAGTAAGCATGAGGTACAAGTAATTATCCCAAAATACCAGTAATGAACTAAAATGGTATTAAGGGTTGGGTTATTTAACAGATACCGTCCATAATATATCTATTTAATTTTTCTTAATTAAAAGTATCCATACATTCTTAAAGGACCTAACACAATCATATTAATTGTAAGCCCTTACACCAAGGGATCAAATATAAAAATAATCATTAATTTTTTCAAATAACCGATTATAAACCCAACATTTATTTTTATTGTTAACACTATCTCATAGCCTTGATCAATAATTCCGTTTTACTCATGTATCCACAAATCATTTGATCTCTTTATTAACTTAATGAATAAATTATAATTCATAAAATTTATCGGCTTATATATTATGGCATATGTATATATTTTATTAAAACAATGAAATACATATACTAAAATCTAAGCCGTTGTAACTCCACTTAATTTTAAATAATTAACCAGGTAAATGTATCTTTCTTCTTTTCGTTACAGTCATAAGCAAACTTGAGACCTCATCCTAGTATTTTGTTTAATATTATTAGACATGGAAATTCTTATTACGTGTTGGGTGTTGTATTTCATGCAACTAGCATTTACCCTCAACCATTATAGACTATAACTTGATAACGAAGGAAGAAGCACGTAAACAATGTACAAACAACCCAATCACAACCACCCTTTGCACGGTGGTGGTGTTGTGACGGAATCCGGCAACCATGCCTGCCGGTGGTGGTGATGATGAGAGTCGAACCATAAAAAGATAACACACGAGACTAGAATCTTACCACCACGATGTATGGCCGGAAAACACTTCAACCCGCTGCCTTAATAGGCTTCTGCCGGAAACCAAGGGCAACCAGAATCTTGCTGGAAACCTAGCCGCTTGCCAGAAAACCTTCACAACTAGCCGACAGCCTCTCCTCTGCTTCTCTCTCCCTCTCTCTCTCTCTCGTGGATAACGAAGCAAACAGAAGTAAGTTGGTAGCCGTTTTTTAATAAGAATGGGGGAATGACATTAAAGCCATCGGGGTAACAGACGAAGAAAGAAGAGGAAAAGATATGTTGGTTTCTTGTTTCAGAGTTATTGAATGAACTTACAACTTTGGTCCCCAAGTTTGTTCCATAATAACGATTTAACCCCAAAATCC